TCAGCGATTGTAGCACGAATGTCATGCTCACACTGCAGGCTGTGCACTCTCGAACGACTATTTAAAGACGCGCAAACCCCGCGAATCGCGCAGTAGCAAAATGTATCTCGCGCTGAGTTATCCTTCCGATATTCGAGACTTGAGCGCCGAGCAGTTGCAATATATATCGAAGGTCGAACTCTTACGCGTGTACGGCGATTACATCGAACACGTCTGGGACAAACTTCCGGAACACGTGAAGGCAGATTCGGAGGTTCGAACCTATAGTCGCTGCGACGAACACTACAATCAGCCGTGGCAGCGAATGCACATCGACGGTTCTGTTGTATCGATAAACGTGCTTCCTTTCGAGTTACATATTCCGGGCTAATTTTGCGGTCCGAGCACGCGACTTGCGAAGCGATTAGCCAGAGGTGAAGCGGACATAAATCCGCTGGACGCGGCGTGTCGAAAACACGACACTGCGTATTCGCACAGCAACAATTTCACCGATAGGCACGCGGCAGACGTACTATACTAGCCGAGAAGGCGTGGAAACGCATTATCGCGAGTGATTCGGTTCTGAGCGAGAGAGCAGCTGCTGCAGCCATTTGGGCAGTGATGACAGCCAAAACTAAGATCGGCATGGGCATGAAATCGAAGAAGACGACGACGAGGAAAAAGGCGACGAAAAAGCGAATACTTCCAACAGCGAAACTAGGCGGTGCGTTACCGTTTTTGCCAATGTTGGGCGCGCTCGGGTCCTTGATAGGCGGAGCGGCCAGCGTGGCGAAAACGGTAAACGATAACAAAGCCGCGCGACGTCAACTCGAAGAGCTGCAACATCACAACCACGCGATGGAACAGGGCCGCGGACTGTATCTCGCTCCGTTCAAATACTGACACGGACAGTATCTCGGCCCGTACAAACATGAACAGGGTGCAGCTGCAAAAAAAAACGCCAAAGAAACCAAAGAGATAAAAATGCCGTCTGGCGCAACTACCAATGTGCAATTAAACGAGCTCGCGAGACGTATGCGCATACCATACTTTCGAGGCGTTTTCATGCGTAATGCGTTACCGACGAGCGGTGCGTGTCGAAACAAAAGCGGTATCGTGAATTTGGTCGATGCGACGGAGCTTAGTACTCACTGAGTAGCGTACGCGAAAAGGAACAGTCGCGTCATATACTTTGACAGTTCCGGTAATCTTCGACCCCAAGGAACTGGTGCGATATTTTGGGAACGGTGCTACGATGATAGAGTACAATCGTACGTCCTATCACATGTACGATCAGAGCTTCTGCGGATAGATGTGTGTGCGGTTTCTACAAACCGTAGACGCGCGTGAATTTAAAAAGCTCGACGAGATGCTGTGAAATCTCAGTATTAGTCGAACGCTTTTTCCGTCATGTCACTGACGCTTACGCTGAACGGGAAGAGCACCGTCCTCGCGGCGAACTACTTTCTTGCCATAGATTTGAGTGACGGCGATTACGAGCTCGGTCTGGCGATTTTTTAGACTTATCACACGATACCGAACATGAATAAATCAAATAACAAATTTTATTTTGCCAAAGATGACGCGGAAATTACAATTCCCGAAGGTTCATACGAAGTGCGAGACATAAATGAGTTTCTGAAACGCGCGATTTTACGGAAACGTCCGCACCGCGACGCGCTTGAAACCGTTGATATAGTGCGTGGTGACACCGATGACAATAATGGTGAGGATGAAGATTATCCGATTACGCTCCAATCAAACTACAACACGATGAGACGCGAGATTAGATGTGTATACACAATAAACTTTAACAAGCCCAACAGCATTGGATCGCTGCTGGGATTCTCGTCGAAGCGTATACTGCGATCACAAAGATGGCACGAATCCGATATGTCATTCAACATAATAAACGTAAACGTTATCCGCGTAGAGTGTAATGTGACCGTGCATATACAGCAATGTAAAAAGCGTGCACACGATACAAGAATTTTCGACGAGCGTGCCGTCAGGATATAAGATATCAGAAAGGCCAGCGCAGACTGTTTACCTACAGATCATCGCACGGAGTATTACGGATCTAACGATACGCGTCGTCGACTAAAACGGATTGATCAATCTTCGAGGAGAAGAGATCACTGTTAGATTACACATACGGCGTAAATAGTAAGCGTGAGATGCTCGTGCTGAACGAAACGGAGCGCACGCAGAAATATAATGTATTCTTTACAAGGTCGACGACATCACAGTTCGATAACACTCGCTAATCCAACTGCATTAGGAAGAAGAAGAAGAAGCTCAGCGCGTCGAACGTTACATTTTTAAAGTCTTTGGGATTCGCGGTGCGCAACATTTGCGATGATTGATATCCTAAACATTAAAGACGAACCGATCTTCGACGATCGCATCGTTAAGGTTGAGAGTCACACGTACAACCCGTTCGCCAACACAACGTTCGAGTACAGCGACGAGATAAGAATACCCATACAGCAACAGGATTTGTACACACCGCCGTACGAAGGCTTTCTATACGTCGAGGGAAAACTGACGAAAAACAAAGTGGGGCAGGGTGCTAACGTGTCATTGGGAAATAATTGCGTCGCGTTTATATTCGATGAGATTCGATATAAACTCAACGGTGTGGAGATTGATCGTAACAGAAACGTGGGCATAACTAGCACGCTCAAAAACTATGTAACAGTGTCATCCGATAAAAGCGTGATTCTGCGGAATGCCGGCTGGGATGCGCAGATTATTGCAAGCGAATACTTTAATTTCTGTGTACTGCTCTACGTAGTGCTGGGATTTTGCGAAGATTACAAACGTATGGTGATTAACGTTCCCCATGAATTGATTTTAATACGAACGCGCAACGACAACAATTGTCTGATAGGAGATCCGCCGACAGAGCCGATGCTCGAATTATTCAAAGTACAGTGGCGAATACTGCACGTGTTATTGAGCGAGATAAAGCTGTCGATGCTGCGCGCTTTGGAGAGCAGACGATATCTGAGCATGTCTTTTCGCTTGTAGGATCTGTACGAGTTTCTGCTCTTGCAGAGCACAACCAGCATTCGTGGGCCATCAAGACGACTACTCAGCTCGAGAAGCCGCGCTAAGTCATTTTCGCTATGCAAACAGGTCGAAAAAATGTCATGTCCGAGGATATAAGTCGATTCGACTATTGCAAATTTACGAATGCGAAACTCTATCTGAATACGGAATGTTATTCGTACGATGATTTGAATCTAGATTTTCATAAAAACAGATGCGCGATTCTGTATGATTTGTACGCGCGTTTCTACAAGAACTACTACGGATACGAATATCTCGAGCCGAGTCTCACCTTTACAACTTTTTTACGTAATGGTCCGTTCGTGATCATCGATTACTCTCGATAGAACGAAGCGGTCAAGAGTGGCACCGTGAACGTGCGATTAGATTTTG